CCCACTCTGCCTCTCCCTCCCCACTGCCCTCGCCAGCACCCAGCGGAGGGCCCGCCTGCCCGCCTCCCAGCTGGGTTTGATCAGCACAGAAGTCTCCCGGCTGCATTTATCTTGTTCGTTTCTGCCTCCTCGGTGCACGCTGCAGGGGCCAGGGCCCTAGCCGGTACCAACACTCAGCAGGGGCTCTAGCAAGGCTAAGGGCCTGCAGTGGTTGGAAGCAGTCCACTTCTGTCCGTCCGTGTGCCCCAACCCCGAGGCTGTGTGGTAAATCCTAACCCCACACCTAGGCTGTGGGTGAGGCAATGGGCTGCAACCGGAGTCTGTCATTCAAACCCAGCCGCCTCCTTGACAGCCTCCGAAGCCCTCCGAGAGGTCGTTCCTGTCCCAGAGGGTCGCCGAGAGGCAGGCATCAGGTGGGATTACAGAAGTCCCTGTGTTCAGACTCGGTTCTTTATTAGATGTTACCGAGTCGGTTCCGACTCTACCCAATGACTCAAGGCCCGGTCCTGCCCCGTCCTCACAATCAGTGCTAGTTGAGCCCATAGCTGCAGTCACTGTGTCCATCCATCTCCTGGCGGGCCTTCCCCTCTCTCGCTGCCCCTCCACTTTACCGACCACAAGGCCCTTCTCCAGGGCCTGGTCTCTCCTGACAACATGCCCAAAGTACGTGAGACAAAGTCTCGCCGTGCTTGCCTCTAAGGAGCGGGATGGTTGGACTTCTTCCAAGACAGGTTAGCGTGTTCTTCCGGCGGCCTACGGCACTGTCAATATTCTTTGCCAGCATCAGACGTCAACTGCATCAATGGCTCGTTGGTCGTCCAGATTCAGTGTCCAGCTTTCACAGGTCCATGAGGCAGTTGAAGATTGTGCCTTAGTCCTCAAAGTAAGCGCCTTGCTTTTCAGCACGTTAAGGGAGTCTCCTGCAGCGGAGTTAACAGGATACCACTGATCCTTCGCGACAACCCTCGAAGTGATCCTCTGCATTCACTGTCATCGAGTGGTTTCCAACTCACAGTGACCCTGAAGCATCAGGTAGAACTGCCCCAGTGGGGTCCCGAGATTGAAAACCGCGTCTTTCTCTTGTGGACCGGCCAGTGATTTCAAACTGCTGGCTTTGTGGTTAGCAGCCCAACACGTAACCCCCTAGGCCACCTAGGCTCAGTGTGGGTCCTACTGTTTGCGTTTTGCAGATAAACCTGAGGCCAAGAGGTCAAAACCTTGAAAGCCTTGGTAGCCCCGCCAGCTCATGCCTGCGCTACTCCACCCCACCCAGGCCCCTCTAGTCCTCCTGGCCTCACCGCCACCTGGCAGGCCAGGACTGCTCACCGTCAGCAGGTGCAGCAGGTCCTCATTGGCGCTGCAGGGTGGGCGCTGTCCCTGGAGAGCTGCCAGCTCCTCCAGTCGCAGGTAGAGGCTGTTGAGTTTGGACAGGTGCAGGCGGCCATCAGGCAGCCTGTCGGGCTGGGCCTCATGCAGGGACACCAGGTCCTTGAGGTGCACGCCCAGCACAGGCAGCCGGAAGCCGGTGCACTCGGCCCAAGCACGGCGGTAACGGGTGTAGTTGTTGTGGGCTGCCAGCAGCTCTGTCAGCTCCAGCAGCACCTGTGAGGTGAGGTTGAGAGGCGGTGGGAGCAGAGTTTTCTAGTCTTCTGGTTCTGTAGTATCCCAGCAGCCTCCTGTGTGAGACCCAAGCACCAGGGACACACCTGCCAGGTCCCTTGATGTCCCACACTGATCTCAGTGTCTCTCCCTTAGCGGCCCCTCCTCTTGGGTCCCTTGTTCCAGGAAGCCCACATCTACCATGCTAGAGGTCGGTGTCTGAGCCACGATTCACACACTCACTCGCACACACACACATACATACGCTCTCATGCACACACATGCTCACATATACCCCAGTTCCTCAATCCCCCACGGGCCTGTCTCCTCAGCCTCTGGAACATCGGTCTCTCCTGCTGCCCCTCCTTCTCCTGTCCCTCTCCCAGCCCAGTCCTGGTCAGCTCAGTCTTGACTCCAGCTTCCCCCAGGGACCTCAGCCTTCAGCTGCTCCCTCTGCAGTCCTCTCTCCAAGTGACAACTAAATTGATTTTCCTAACACGACAACCTCTCCTCATCTTCTTCCTTAGCTCACAAACACGTCCTTGCCTCCTCAGGACCCCCAAGGACGGGACAATCTGTGTCACATGGCTTCCGTCTGACCATCTCAGGTTGCCTGGCCTCCCTCTTCAAATCACCCTCTGCACCATTCACCAGGCTGACTGTGGGTGCTACCACCAACCCCAAAGCTCCTACAGCTCCCCACTGCCCTTAGACGAAGACCAAACACTTGGGGCAATTCTGTAAGGCCCACCAAGGCCTTTCCTGTCACCTCTCCAGCCTAATTTCCCGCCCCTCTCTGACTGCAGCCACACATCATGACCGTGGGTGACACCCGTTTCCAAGACACGCCTCAGGACATCCCCAATCCAGACCCCTCTTTTGGGTGGCCCACATGTTGTATTCGGTGGGTGGTTGTGCTCCCATCTGAACTGTAATCTCTCTGCCTGCACATTCTCCTCCCTGTCTCCCTGACAGACCCCTGCTCAGGACCAGGTTCCCATTGGGTCCAGGAGTCCATGCAGTGGTCCAGGAAGAATGCAGACAGAGCCTGGGGGGTCTGTGGGGTCACAGGCAGGGTTTGAGAGGGCTGGGGGCTCGAGATTGTGGATCGCTGGAGGAGGGTGGGGGCCTGCAGGGGGCCAGATTCACCTTGGTGCTGTCAGGGCTCAGGTGAGCGTGGGAGTCCTTGAGTCTGGAGATGGCGCTGTGACACAGGCCCCCGGTGACTGCCATCAACGTGTTGAAATTCTGCAGCTGGTGGAGCCTCTAGGGAGGGAATGGATGGGTAAGCCCAAAAGTTTCCCCGGGGCATAGGGGGACTGTTGCCAGAAGCATGCCATGCACCTGTGTGCTCAGGCAACAGGGTGAAAGTGGCGGTGGCCAGCAGGGGTGGGCCACTGGCAGGTTCCAGCGGAGTGGGGAGACAAGCAAGAAGGGGGGCTGCGGGGTGGGGGTCTAGGCTGGGTATGTGTGGCAGAGAAGGGTACGTGGGGATTCAGACAGATCTCAGAGGGGCAGGCAGGGGCTGCGGGGACAGGGACTGCTGTGAGGGGCGGGTGAGGAGAGAGGAGGGGTGGGCTCTGGCAGGATTGGGCATCAGGCAGAGGTAGCTGGGGCCAGACTGATATGGGGTCACATTGAGGTGGGTTTCACTAGGTTTCTTGGGCTTCCTCCTCCTTCCCAAGTTTAACGGGTGGAGGTCGCTGTGGGGAGAGGGTGGAGCCCAGGATGAATGGAAGATACGCAGACCCAGGAGACGCCCGGGCTTGGGAGGGCACACTCCCCGGGGCTGAGTGCCCAGCGAGAAAGGGCGTGGCCTGAGGGAATGTGTCAGGAGGCGTGGTCTCCGTGGAGGACGGAGGCCTTCCCCTATCCAGAAGGGAGGGAAGCGCGTGACTGTGGGCAGGAACCTGGTAAGGACGTGACAGGATGCGGTCACCGTTCCAGAGGGGATCGGATCCTCAGTGGGGTCCCAATCTCCCAGGGAGAGAACATGGAGACCTAAGGCTGGGAGACGGTCAGGAGGGACGGGCTGCCAGCCGGCGGGGCCGGGGGGCTGATGCAGCGGATAACCGGGAGTAGGGCTGGGGAAGAAGCCTGGGGGCGGGGCGAGATGCGAGGGGCGGGGCCGCGCGGTGGGTGACGTCACCAGAGGGCTGGCCGTGGACCGAGGACCCGGCGGCCCAGGAGTGCGGGACGAGCGCCTCACCTGTGCCACGTGGATGAACTTGTCCAGCACCTGCGCGCGCTGCGCGGGCCCGGGTCGACTCAGCACCATGACCTGCACCCAGCGGGACACGCTGTTGCTGAGGCCCACCGAGCCCTCCAGCGCCGGGCAGCCCCGCACGGAGCCCTGCAAAACGTAGCTCCGCAGGTCCTGGGACTGGGAGCGAGGGAGGAGTCAGAGGGGCCGCCGAAGCCCTCGAGGTCTGCAGTCAGGGCCTCCGATGTCCTAGCCTGACCTCCCCAGCTTCAGCGACTTTTGTTACCTTGTCTCCCCCAGGTTGCCACACGTGGCTTAAGTCACCATGATCTTTCCCATCCATAGACCCCCACATCGAACTCATTGCCATCGAGTGGCTTCTCCCTCATCTCCCTCCTGGTGGTTTCAAACTGCCGACCTTGGGGTTAGCAGCCCAATGCTTAACCACTACGCTACCAGGGTTCCTATAGCTACCAGGGCCCCTATCGCAACCCTAAGCAGCCCCAGTTCTCTGGCAAAAGACAATTGGTATATTTTAGACTTTTTGAGGATTTAAATGAACCACGAAGTCATCAAATGCCACGTGTCTCCGAGCTGAACCGTGTTCCACGGGGTTTTCAATGGTTGTTTTTGTTAAGTTTGTTTAGAAGTACATTGACTGCTTCCTGTGCACCTGTGTGTGGAGTCGGGGCTATTCGTTCTCTTTCACTCTGGATGAATTACAGTGTCATCATATAGGCAGGTCCTGTTGAGTTCCCATTCCAGAGAGGAGGCCATCAGCACAGAGAGGCTGTGTAGTCTGCCCAACAGAATGCAGGTGCGAACCAAGATCGCCCCGCAGAACCCAGCCCGCTGCTCCTAACCATATACTGACTGGCACCCAGTAGGCGGCTCGGAGGACAGGGAAGAGGATGTGTGCGGCACACCAACTCCTGCTTGTTCTACTGACGGGAGATGGCACAGGGCTTAACCTTTAGCCACACAGCCACTCAGCCAGTGGACCCTGTCCACTCTGCTCTCCAAATGCCCACAACTCACCCACTTCTCCCGTCTCTGCCACACCTGATCCTACCAGTCACCCTCTGCTGCCCAACCCCCAGCAGCCTCCTCTGTGCTCCCTGCTCCCAAGCTGCTCTCTACCAGCAGCTCCCCACATGCCACCAGAGGTACCTGGGAACACTTGGCTTAGACCTCCTGGCTCAGAGCTCCCCCCTTGACTCCCTCTCACCCAGAATCCAAACCAAAGGCCCTTCTGTGGCCACGAGGCTCCATGTGATCTTCCCCCTCCCCACGCCCCCCCTCACCTCTCCACCACCCAGCCCTATTGAGCTCCCCCTCATTGCTCTGTCCCGCCAATGTGCCAATACACTCCCACCTCAGGGTCTTTGCACTGTTTGTTCTCTCTGCCCAGAACACTCTCCCCTCCAAGTCCTCAGGCTCTCCCTCACCTGCTTCAGGTCCTTATTTGGGTGTCACTGTCCCCCCTTCTAGCATAACTGGGACACAGCTGGTATCCCTGGTCCCATGAGTGAATCAAACCAGAAAAGGTGACAAAGCAAACGCCAAGGAAAACCACTGCATCCTCGTTTGGCAGAGATTTCCAGGGTCGCCAAGTGTCCCAGGGTTGGGGACAAAAAGTGAAACTGCTGGGGACACCCACAGCGGAACAAGTGCCAGCCCCCACCTGCCACACTCCTCCCAGTCCCCATAAGCCAGAAGTTTCAGACTGGTGATTTGAGGGCTAAATCTGTCCTGGCCACACGTTTCATTTAGCCAGCAAAATATTTACAATGAAAAAGTCTATGTATACATCTCACTGCCCGTCGAGTCCATTCTGACTCATAGCAGCCCTATAAAACAGGGTAGAACTGCTCTGGGGAGGGGTGGTGTCTAAGGCTATAACTCTTTTTTTTTAAAGGTGTTAAATTTTTTTCATGGTAAATCACCTTTAAAATAAGTTGTATACAGGTCTGTCTGGATAGGACAGGCTGGATGAACAATCTGGAGGAGAAAACAATGGGACTGACAGTTCCGGGGGACATGAGAGAGGGGAAGGTGGGGGGAAGGGAAGAGGTGTTAACAAACCCAGGGACAAGGGAACAACAAGGGATCCAAATTGGTGG